TAAACTTGTTACCCGCATTTGTTCATTAAAAATTGAGTTCTTTAGCTTAAAAAGAATTATAAAAGTACCGAACACTTTCACAATACATTAAATTACTAAGTCTTTTTAAACTGTTGTTGCTCTCCAACTTGAAAATCAATGCCATTAAAATTTTTATATTCGACGACATTTTTATTCACAAAGAAGAAGAAAAATGAAAAAGTTTTTATAATAATTGAAAAAATTTAATGATTATTGTGTGACCTGATTGATATATTACGGTTGTGTTTTTAATAAAATTATAGTGAATCAGCAAATATGTTTGAGAGTGCCGAAGAAAAGTAGGTACAGATTTTTTTATTACATTTTAGTTTTGTAATTGTAGTTAGCAAAGATAAATAAATTACGTGAATCATGATTTCAGTTATTGATAGTTTAATATTTAAATCATGCAAAATTACATGAATACATTACATAAGTAATATTCATAGTATTGTTTTGACATTCATTTATAATGGCTGTACACCTATGCCTAACATAAAATCTAAGACTATACAATTTAAATTTGACTTTGATTTTTAAATGCTGAACATTATGTCTTATAAATAGAATAATTTTGCCCACAGATGAATGATGCCAAGCCCGAATGTAAAAATAAATGTAGGCAGTACAGTATTGATTATTTAAAGTTTGGCTTCATTCCATCATTGATGGACAAACAATTGCCTAGTGTCTTTTATGTATTTCATGCTTTTATGTCTTTTTTGGGCAATGACGTTATGAAACCATCTAAGCTGAAGGATCATCTGAAAAGATGTCACTCTGATAAAACAGATAAAAATTTGAAATACTTTCAAACACTTAAAGGTAAACTTCAGAATAGACTCACACTGGACAGAATGTTCACTTCAACATCACAAAGAAACAATGATGGTTTGCAAGCATCTTACAACATCTCGCTACTTATAGCAAAATCCGGTCATTATGCAGTAAACCGAATCCGAAGAAACACGTTGAATACGTGGTTATTTGCACAGTTGTGTGAAGAGAATGACGAACACTTTCAACAGTTACTTCTTCAAACTGAAATACGCTGGTTGTTGAATAGGCTTATGTTTAACAAGATTCTTTGGACTTTTTGAGACTGTTTTAGAATTTTTGGATACTAAAGATCAATTTTTAAAAGACAATTTAATAAAATAGAAAACAGACATTGCCTATTTAACAGATTTGTTTACAATATTTAATATGGTTAACTTGCAGTTACAAGACAACAATCTAAATTTGATTACAACAAAATCTATCTTATCAGCATTTCTTCTTTTAATTATTCACCTCCCCAAGGCCCGATGGGGCCACTACAGTCGAGGAGGCTACTCATCGTTAAACTAATGAAGCAAAATATTGGACAGGGTAAACTTTCCAAGTTCCCCAGAAGACATTTCAACCTACATTGAACATTTAAATGCCCTCTATTCAGATTTCAAAAATAGGTTTGAGGATGTTTTGACTATGATAATACCACCGTGGATAATTAACCCATATGGTGTGATAGAAGTAACAAATGTCATAATACAAGAGGAACTGATTGCACTAACTGATTGTACTAAAGTACAAACGAAGAACTTAAGGTTCAGTTTAAAAACAGATATCAGCAATTCTGGATGCAAAACATCCTACCCTTTACTTATCCCATATTATGGAATATAGAGAGGAAATTTTTTATTTCCTTTCCATCCTCATACCTAGTGGAAAGAGGATTCAGCATTGTTACCAATCTCCTAGCGAAAAAAAGAAACAGACTGGACATCATTAGCCGAGGAGATTTAAGATTAAACCTTACAAAGTTGACACCAAATGTTGATACTTTATTATTAAAGCATCAGGTTCATCCTTCTCACTAAAAAAAATTACTTATTGCTTAGTTTTGTTTTTTGTGTTTATTTTATGTTACGTATACAGATACACAATTTTATTTTGAGTATTTTTAATTTTAATGCAATTAATAAATGTATAAAATTTAGCATATGTTTTTATTTGACATTTTTAAAACTAAACTTCACTACAGTTAGAAATTAACAAAAAATCAATATCAGGTAAGTTGATGGTCTACCCAAAACCGAAAAACATAGCAAGGGGTCTACGACACAAAAAAAGTTTGGGAATCACTGATATAAACATATTAGGGTGGTCCAAATTTTTCACATTATTTAAGATGCAGACCTAAATATGTTCTGTATAATAAAAGAATACAGGAGTTGAAAATTTTTTGATTAAAAAATATTCTTAGAGGTTTGATTAAAAAATATTCTTAGAGCTCAAGACAAGCCCCTAATGATATCAACAAAAAAAAAAGTTCTTCAAAAGTATATCATGTTAGGTCCCAAAAGAAGCAAAATTTTATAAAAGTTTCGAAAATAGTTATTATTTAAAAACTTTAAAATTTTTTTTTTTTTATAAATGCATGTTTTTTATTATTAGTTAAAAAATGTTATTTTCTAGGCAGTGAAATCTAAAAAAATAATATATATATATATATATATATATATATATATATATATATATATATATATATATATATATATATATATATAAATATATATATAATATAATATAATATATATATAAAATATATATATAAAATATATATATATATATATATATATATATATATATATATATATATTATAAATAATTTATTAATGAATGTAATTACTATTATTATACTATTATAGTAATATTAATAATATTTTTTATCAGAGCTATGGTTCTTAAGATGATTTGTTAAGGAAGCTATCTTGACGTTACTATTGTTTTTAAACTAAAAAAAAAAAACTCAAAAATTTGTTTGTTCCTGTTAGTTAAATTTAAACAAATAATTAAAAGAAACATATTTGCTTTCTATTTTATACAATAATAAACTATAGCAAGTTATACATGACATAAAAATAAGGTATAACAAGACATCACATGCTTATTAACCCAAAACAGAAGAATGGAGAAATGTACTTTATATATTTTATAAATGTACTATAGTGACATTTTTATACCAATAGCATAAATATCTTATATCTTGATTAATAATAAAACCAATTGCATAATTAGCTTGATTATTAATAAACCTTAAAAGATGTCAATTTATATAATTAAAAGTCTTGAACTGTTTCTGTTTTAATAATCAACTTCATTTTTTAAAACTTTTTTAATTGTCAAATAACAAGAAATTTATAATAAAGATAAGAAAATAAAGATAATTAATAAAAGAGATAACAATTAATTTTTTTTCTTTCTTAATACATAAAAAAAAAAATTTTATTGGCTTAAAAAAATAAAATAAATTAGCAAACCTTTTCACTACCTATTTAAAAGTTAATATCAAAACATCTAATTAGTTTAGGTATAAAGAAAAAATACTTGATTTACAAGTTATTACTCATACTAAAACTATATACTAAAACTTTGAATTACTGTATTAAACAAAATTATATTATACTATATAAAAAATTTAACTAAAATTTTATAACTAAAAATTATTGCCTCATGATTATTTGCTTAATAAAGTATATTAATTAAATGAATACATTAAATTTTAAATATTTATAGTTTTCACTTAATAATTTAAAGTATTGCATATTCAAGAACTTATTACAACTCATATCATTCAAGATTTTCCTTTATGCATTAACTAAAATAACATTTAATGAAACAAAAATATTTAGAAAAATAAAAACAGTCTAAACACTGTAAACAATAATAAACTAAGCTTACAATATTAAAATAAATAAATAATACAAAAAAAAACAACATTGAAAGTTGATTTTTTTTAAACACATAAAACAAAATAGTATTTTTGGATTATTTTAAGAGATTGAGTAATAATTTTTTTTTTTTTGCCTTGTGTGTTGTTAGCTTTTGTGTATTTTTGGACATTCAACAGAAGCATTACAGTACATTGAACAAAAAAACTTAGGTCATCCTCACTTTTTATTAAAAAAATTTAAATGTATTTTTACTTGTTTAAAATTAGAAGATGTAAAAAACATAATTATTTAATTTTTTCAAAATAAACATAATTATTTTAAACTTACAAAAATTATAACTAACATGTATAATATATTTCAATAATTATAAATTAAAAAAAAAAGTTATATGGAGTTAAAATATATCATTAACAGTTGTTATAGAATTAGAATTTTAGGACAACAATATATAAAGTATATATTTCAATAGTGATAGTCTATTATTAACTTATATATATATATATATATATATATATATATATATATATATATATATATATATATATATATATATATATATATATATATATATATATATATATATATATATATATATATATATATATATATATATATATATACATGTATATATATATATATATATATATATATATATATATATATATATATATATATATATATAAATTATGTTTGTGCATTGTACAAATATAATGGTCAATGTTCTTAAAGAACAAATCTAATATATATATATATATATATATATATATATATATATATATATATATATATATATATATATATATATATATATATATATATATATATATATATATATATATATATATATATATATATATATATATATATATATATATATATATATATATATATATATATATATATATATATATATATATATATATATATATATATATATATATATATATATATATATATATATATATATATATATATATATTGTTTGTATAGCTCAAAAAAAAAACAATAAATGTGTGTAATCTTTTTTAATAATAAACGACCTTGCAATAAACATATTACTTAACAGAAGCAAAATTTTTTAATTAAAGTGCAGTTAGAAATATATATATATATATATATATATATATATATATATATATATATATATATATATATATATATATATATATATATATATATATATATACATATATATAGATGTAAAAGAGAGATTTATTTTATAATTTAAAAACTTTATAGTTTGTTATGAGCTTAACTAACCTGTATTATTTCATTAGTACTATCAAATATTTTTTCTTTGTCACCGTTTTGTTGATCATTTGAACCATTTTTTACATGTTTATGAGCAGCATACTGCTTCGGCTTATTGGGTTTAGAAGCCTGATTTCTACGAGCTAGTGCTAGTAGTTGATCGGCTTGGGCTTTATCTTCTGCTTCTATTAAAGGTTGGGTTGAAGCGTAATGACTGTTAACTTCAATGCGTCTTTCGTTAAGGTCGTGAAAATGTTGTCGAAGGGCTTCAATGGTTTTCGCTCTTGTTTTGGTACTATCCATATTATATTCTAACATAAAAACCATTAAAATAACCTCATTTGCAATTAGCTAATCCTAATTAATTATAAAAATTTTCATTATTAACGTAAGTGCACCATCTTTACGACTGCCAAAATCATGCCTGGATTTGATTGCTTAATTTTTAACTCTCCATAATGGCTCAAATAACTTTACTATTTTCAATGATAGTTTAGGAGAAAATAAATACTTACAAAATCACTTTTCCTTTTATAACTATAAAACTTATTTAAAATAATACATAAAAAAATTAAAAATTGTTATAGTTATAAAAAAGTTAAAAAAGTGTAATAAATTTGAATATTTTTACATTTGAAGTCGATATGATTAAGTTAAATAGTTTGTTATGATAAATTTCTTTTAAAACTTTGATTCTATACAAGTTAATTTTCCGTTTGTTTATTCATTGAACTCCGTGATTGACAAGAAGTCGTTTTATGCGTCGACTAATACAATTACAAATTTAAAGTAATTGGGGTGTTCCTCTGTTTGAGGAGAGTTTTATTTTTCACTTTTTAACTCAAGTTGCGCAATAACTTTTTAAAACAGTCATAAAATTTGGCCCCATGACTTAAAGCCGAGTTAGGTGTTTTAAGGTTTTTGGAAATTCAGTTTACAGATTTATTTCTTTAAGAAACAATAAACTAAAAAACTTCTATAATATTTATATATATATATTTTCTGGAATGACGCTAAAAGAAAATCCGCAGTTCAAAACTATATTTTTTCAAACGACGCAGAATGTAAGTAGCTTTATTAGCGTAAACATTTTTTTCTTAACGAGTAAGATGAGCACACCAATTGTTGCTCTAATCTTTAACGCAGTAATATTAAACATTAGTAAACATAAAGCTTAAACGTAAAAATGGTTTATTGTATAATACAATTAACTTTTAATTACTTTTTATGCTTTTAAAATCCAGATTTTTTAAACGCCTGAAATACAATTCATTTTTCTTTCGCTTTAAAAAAATCCGGGCTTGTCTACGCTTGAAAGAGAATATATAATTACGTATAAAACTTAAAGGATGGGTTGCGTTCTTGTATAGGTTTGAATTTCTAAAATAAAGTTTTTTGAGAAATCATGTTTTAAGTATAAGATTGTTTGTGTTTTTGAAACTTAAAATTTGTTTTAAGTTTCAAAAACACAAACATTCTTATACTTATCATTTTAATATATATTATTTAATTTATTATTTTAAAAAAAAGTGTACAGTTTTAATAGAAATCGGCCTTTCTTTCGACTCCTGAATTCCTGGAAGATACATACATATATGCAAACAGCGATACTTACATACCTACAACATATAGATGCATACATACACAAATACATACATACATACATACATACATACATACATACATACATACATACATACATACATACATACATACATACATACATACATACATACATACATACATACATAAATACATACATACATACATACATACATACATACATACATACATACATACATACATACATACATACATACATACATACATACATACATACATACATACATACATACATACGACGATGAAGAGGTTCTAGTATACTTTTATTAACACTACTAATAGTTAAGATGGCAATGAATAAATGAACAATATAATTGAATTAAAGTATGTTTATTTAGGAAACTTTTTGATTTGTATAATACTCCTATACGTCTAGCAATTTTGCTACTTAGATTATTAACGTGATTTTTCCATGTGAGGTTTTCGTCAATATAAGTGTCTAAAAATTTTGTAACATTTGTTTGCTTTATTTCAGTATTATTAACTCGAGGCTTTAATAAGTCTATGACGATACCTAATGTGTATTGTGATGTTTTGAAAGAATCAGTAATACTTCTAGTTAGTTAAAGTATTGCATGTTCCGCAGAACTATTACTTTTAAATCCATATTAATTATGACAAAATATTTTATTTGTAGATAGGTGATTATATATTCTATTATATAAAATTTTTTCTAGAACCTTTGAAAAAACTGGGAGAATAGAAATTAGCCGATAGTGATTAAGACTGGGTAATTCACCTCCCTTAAATATTGGAATAACTCTAGCTATTTTAAGTTGGTCAGAAAATAATTAAACAATTAATCATTTTGTAAGTAGTCTTAAATTCGCTGAAAGATGCTTCAAATTCATTTAGAGCAGAGCTTGTAGGAAAGATAAATTCATATAGAGAAGAGCTTATAGGAAAGATAAATTCATTTAGAGAAGATCTTGTAGGAAAGATAAGTTCATTTAGAGAAGAGCTTGTAGAAAAGATAAATATATTTAGAGAAGAACTTGTAGGAAAGATAAATTCATTTAGAGAAGAGCTTTTAGGAAAGATAAAACCATTTATATTGGTCATTATAGGAATATTTTTTGCTAAATTTGGTCCAAATGATACAAAGTCTTTGTCTATTTCTCTCGCTATTTCTTTAGGGACATACAAAAGCTCATTATTTGTTTCAATTGCATTTATCAAAGAACATGTATTAATTTTATTATTGCCAATTATTTCATATATAAATTGCCATTTTCGTTTAAACCGTTTTTGTATTTATCGAATAAGTTGTTATAGTATTTTTTTCCAGACTTTTTCTTTGAATTTCAAACTGTTTTGCATAGGTTTTATAGAGTACTTTAGGGGAAAGTATGGGTATTGGTGAACACCTAAGCGGGAATGCGAATTAATAACACCAGTTATACAAAATTGCTCATATTTTTTGCTTATTATTTAGTCTAATTATTCAGTCACAACCCCCCAAAGGCAATTTTTATATATCTTATTATAAAATAAAAATTTAGGGCAAAAATAAAACCATTGGTGTTCGGATTTACCCTACGTACGTGGGGTAATTCTAAACACACCTACGAGTAATTACAGACAAAACCTCAGGATATGCTCACCTTCACCAGGCCTTACAATTGTAACATATAATCCAGTCTTGCATGGGCGGATCATGAAATTTTTCATCGCAACTTATTACAACAACACTCTTTTAAAATTTAAATTTAATTTTTTAATTATTACAATTTGAAAAAATTGTAACGAAACAAAACCCCGGTACGTACTTTCACTAATTGTGCTCTCTTGTGCAACCAGGACTGGCATTTATGACACATGATCTTGTCTTCTGTGGGTGGATCCTTACATTTTTCTTTGCAAATTAAACAAGTTCTGTATCATCTCTGGTTCTCTTTTTTCTTTACATGATGGTACATGATCACCCTCTAATTGACTAAAGTTCTTCTTTCTCTTTTTACTTTTACCATTAGTACTTTTTACTTCTTCTTTCTTACTTTTCTTCTGCTCTAAAATATTTCTTATTTGCAAACTAGTAGTAATAGTAAAATGTTGCTTTCTTAAACATTCTCTGGTTTTCACTCTATTAAATTAAATCACGTTTCTAACAATTTATCTGTTGAAATTAAATGAGACAAAAGTAAGAAACATTAATTTTCTGGCCACCAGACGTCCATGATTTATCAATGAAACTTTAGACGTTTGAAATTACCCCACTAAACAAATGAAATACAATTAATCTATTAAGGTTGTATTGAGATACCCAATATCAGGGCCAACAACATCGGGGGGCCAGGGGGCTTTTTTTTCTAAAGGACCTTTTTTTAAATATTATTATAAGAAAATTCTCAATATAGAAGACTTTTTTTGACGATTTTTCCCCCTCACTTCAAAACCCGTGTCGCCGGCCCTGCCCAAAATATAATATGTGTTAAAAACTCCTTAGCTATGGTAATATGCAACAACATCAACAAAAGGAGTAGGTTTATATCTATAGTAGCTACAACAGGAATGTTTCTCAAGCAAAAAAATACATGAAATTATCAGAAAAAGCTAGGATCAATCAATTGGGAATAACGAGCGCAGATTCACTACACTACTGCACGTCTGAAACTGAGTATGAAACCCCCTCTCAGCAGGCAAAATGAAATGGTCAACTATTATGATCTATCGTGCCGTTTTGACCATGTTTAGAGTTACCTTGCGTTCGCCGTTACACCACCCTCCCCTACTTTCAATTATTTTTATTTTTAAGTATTTGATATATAGCTTTTGTTTTATTTTTTTAGGACTTTCTAAGTTCTTTAGTGAAAAATGGTAATTTTATACTTTTGTTTGTTTTATAAATTTCACATTTTTAGAAGTTTATATCATAAACTTCATTATAAAGTTTCAGAAATGCATTATACATAATGTTTGCATCTGACAAAGTACTGATACGGTTCCAGTTAATATATGATAATTGTTCCTTAAATGATATACAATTTTTTCGTTTATAAAGCGTTTGGTCAAGATTTGTTTTTTTGTGTTATTGAATTGATTTATCATTTATAAAGAGAAAAAAAAGGGAAAATGATCAGATGTGTCACTTTTAATTATTCCTTTTTTAATTAATTTATTTAAGGTATCAGTCGTTATAATATTGTCTATTAATGAGGCTGATGTTGCAGTTATCCTTGTTGGTTTATTTATTTTAGAAATTGCTCCATTTTTAAATAAATCATCGTAAAAAATTTTAATATTCGAGTTTATATGATATTCAAAACAATCTAAGTTCATACAACCAATTAATTTATTTAGTTTTTTTCGTTAAACCCTTTTCTTATAATATTAGTATTTAAAAACGTTTTAAACTTTTTAATTACGCCTGAAGGTGGGGGGTAACAACAACTTAAACGTTTTTAGTTTTTTTTATTTAAAACTTCAATTGTTAGAACCTTTTTATCGGCATCAGAAATACTTACTTCAAGCCTGATAATAAACTGCAAATTTGTGTTTATGCGAGGTGGAGGTGTTCTTATTTACATAAACACAATAGGTGTCTAATTTTTTAAGAGATAGAGATTTGTGTTTGATTAAGCGTCGTCCGAGTTACACCACGTTTCTGTTACACGTATTATGTTGAAAATATTTGAAGTTTTCTCTACTCAGCGTAGTTAGGGAGAGATCCGAACGATTTGCATTTCTTAAAAACAAAAATTTGCATTTTTAAGCTTCAATTTTTAAACTTCAATTTTTTTCCGCCTATTTTTGACAATTATTGTTATATATTTTTAAAAAGTAGAATTTAAGCTTTTCTTATGTAATTTATTATTTTTTTTATAAAT